ATCTCAGTCATCACTCCCTTCTTAAAAGACAATTCTAATAATCGTTTATGAAATTTGTCAACCATTTAAAAAATCACGAAAAAATTGATTTATTAAAAGTTTAACCACTTTGTCGACTTCCAATGACTCGTATGTTATTTGTAGCAATTAAGAGTACACGGTAAAGCAATTTGCCGAAAATGTTTTGTCAAAGGCCAACCTTAAGTTACAACCTTGTAAAGCCTTACAAACTTTTTGTAGTTCTACTTATGTAAAGATTGAATTAACTCTTGTTAAATAAACTGACCTACCGCAATATCATTTAAGAATGCACTAACGTATCCCTTTGTTACTAATCTGGAATTCTTTATTGCGCATTAAGCTCTATCAAAGCCCTGTAAATATTAAATCAAGCTTTAAGCTCAAGCTGGTCCGGAAAGTCACTAATCGTACTCCGACGTTGTATGAATGACAAAAGTTGTGAAAGTCAATACGTAGAACTGAGTCTGACCGCACGATGAGAATGCCTACAGCCTTATAAATCGTGCATCGTTTTATTTGTCTGCAAGTGTACATATTCGAGTACTTATTACATACTAGCTTTCGCCTGCGACTCCGTCCGCATGGAATTAAAAAAAAAAACAAGTAGCCTATGTGTTCTTCCAAACTATCCTCTACATCCTTACCAAATTTCATCGAAATCGGTTCAACCGTTTACGCTACAAACTCTAACAAACATCCATCCATCCATCTAAACGTTCGCATTTATAATATTAGTATGATTTATATACTTAAATATATACTTTAACCGGTTAGATTGATAGGGAAAATGAATTAACATTGTTGGTTTAAAGCAAGTTTGGTGTACTCTATTTTTAATACATACGAGTAGTTCGAATATAAAGACAGAAACAAAATTGAGATTTTTCACTTTTATTATAGTTTATACATTAAAATACTTTCAAATTATTCGTTATTAAAGGGATTAAAACGGGTGGACCTCTTTTATAAATAAAAAACAAAACTGAGAAGCCTAGGTGTTCTTCCAGACTATCGTCTACGTCTATGCCAAATTTCATCTAAATCCGTTTTGGCGTTTAGGCTACAAAGCCAACATCCATCCATCCATCTAAACTATCGCATTTTTAATATTAGTGTGATGATATCGTATATACTTCTGCATTTAAGTAAAAGAAAGCTTTTTCATATTATTATGAACAAGATGTGGCGGCAAGCTTTTCGCATACAAACTATAGGTAACTTGCATAATTTAAAATAGCAGCCTCATTTATTATGATCTCATTTTCGTAGAATATTTAAAAAAAAGACTAAAATGAACCTGTTTACATAAATTAATAAATTGATATTTTCCATCGATGGTTTTGTACTGAAATCTAAATAAAGTGTAGTTCTTTCGATGACCTCTGTCAGGTTATTTTAGGAACATTAATAAAAAACCTTAAACCTGTCGCAATAGTTTTCACAACACAAAATAATTATAGTAAAGAAAAGTTTTGTTCAATCGTATGATCGAGTATATTAGACAGAGTGTTTGTTTTGTAAATTGAGATGATCCCAACGACCTCGCTGCCTAGACCTTGGTCACGTGACAGAGCACATGTCAAGTCCCGTGACGTGACACTTCAATTGAGTGACGTGACGCGAACACGCCGCGACGTAATTTATGTAATATCTGGATGTGACGAAACTGCTTTGAACTATGAATCATTAACAGTCACAACTGACCTGTTACGTAGCTTGTCGCGTTTTTACATCAAGTATTAGTCATCACATCGCAGGATAACAGACTTATCAATGAAATCATTATGTAATCACCCTTCTGGTATGCCACTCGCCGAGTATTCGATTGACTTTTGATTATTCATGTATTTTTTTATTCTATTTTTTGATAACATTACAGCATACTTTCGATATGACTCAGTAAAGATGACGCATCTATACGTCGGATAACAAAATATTAAGAAAAATTAAGTCATTGTATTACTTTCATCCTGTTCGACTTCTAAGCTTGCTGATGTTTTGATAAATATGTTACCATTGCCTTGGTCATTTAGATAGTAGAGATAGATTCAACGTTTGTCACGTAACTTAAAATAACATGGACAGTTTAAGTCATTTGGTGATTTAGCAGCTTTTCAGTAATATAAATCAAAGACTTAATTCAATATAAGTTGCCAATATGTGAGTTCTTCAGATAAAGACAGGAAGACTGTAACTAGACACTTAATTTATAAAACAGGACTCAAATACGTAAGATTAGGTTTCGTGGCGATGACGCTACAGCGTCAGAGCTATCATGACATCAGCTGGGGCCGCGTCACGTCGCGTCACTCGAACCTGAGACGGAATCTCTGTAACAGCAATCATCGCGTGTCACCGCCAATTAATATATGACTTGTATCGTAACAATTGCCTAAAACTAACATAAATCAAAGATATTTAAAGAAATGACGCGTTTCTAAATCTATGAACTTCTATAATTGATAACATGGAGTTCTAGAGATGGACGTTGGTAATCGGTTTTATGTAATCAAAAATCGTTTTTTAATCAAAATAAAAAGTAATTGAACATCTTCAAAATTTACTTTATGGTAATGACAACAATTCACGAGTGATTAGCATCGAATCGGTACTAATTGATCGAGTGGTCGTCGATATCGATGATTGGCATGTTTTGATCGTGCGTAGTGTGTCCGAATAGTTTCGAAGGCATAGTGTAGGAGTCATTAATATGCGTGTTGCGATACTTCGCGTTCGACAATCGAGCGCGTGAGCCGTGTGATTGATATCGCTGGAGACTCCAATGACTCATAGATATCGCGCCGCCGATGGTTTCTTTGACCCTATTCAACGGTTCCACTGCAATAATTTGTCCTTGCTCTGAATTTAAACTAGTGTTCCAGGAACAGTAATAAAAGTGATACGAGAACAAAGTACGAATACGTTTATTGTTTTATCATCGAAATTAATTTTGCTGTCGGTTAAAGTCAAATCGGGAATGTTTGAATTTACGGATAAAACATCCGTTAATAATAAAGTTATTTTTGCTACTTGAATATTTAAATGTGTATATTTTAGCGAATTTTGTGGGTTAAAGTACCACCGGAATGCTAATTTATAAATTAAACTTACCAAGTAAATTCGACGGACTGTAGCCAGACATTCAATAGTTCCTAGTAATAGCGGTATCGTGCTGATGAGCCATTATGATAAGACACAGTCCACGCCGCTTTGAAACGCTTTTTGTGTCAAGGACATGAGACCAAGACAGGAACACGACGCTCGGGTATAATTATCAAGGGGTTTTTTGTCCGCACATCTTGAACCACGGTGTCAAACTCGCCGCATTGCAGTACACGAGCGAATATTTATTGCTCACACACACGGAGTACGTAGCAGTTTTTAAAAGGTCTTTTAATTGTGAAGTTAAAGGAATTAAACATTTTCCTTATTATACAAGTTTAAACGCAATATGAAAAACAAATCTCTTTTTATAGTGTTTTGCATAAATATTTAATATCCAATAATACCTAAGCGAATTTTGTGTCCTTGTTTGTTTTTAGCACCAAATGGGAAACAAACTGAAAATACTTTTCTTTCATATACGTATACGTATTTCCTTCATATATGAAGGAAAAGTAAACAAACGTTGGTTAGTCTCTAAACTGATTATTTCGCATTTCAGGGAAAAAATTAAAAACAAAGCAGGAATTAAAATCAAAGTACAACAAATACATAGTAAATCCTGTAATCATAAAACTTATTGGAACAACATTGTAATTAACGAAGCCTTTATAAAAACAGGACCACTTTATTCTAACGCCGGATAACGATTAAAATCTGCTCATTGTATCCGAGGTTATTTATGAAGATAACCATTAATTTTACAAACCAGTAGAATGTTAATGACTTTTAGGAACACAATATAAACGTTTCAAATGTAATTTACGATTGTAACCTTCGTTCTTAGTAATGTTAATCGGATTATACTTTAATAGCAACGTATTTGTATCGTTGTTTTTGTTTCTAGATACCGGAATTCAAGTTGGATGGCAGCAACAGTTTAAAACACAACGGCAGCGCGAAGGATCTGGCTTCCGTCATGGAGAACTTGAAGAAGACCAGTCTAGTCTCCAGACAGAACCAAACCCTGAATACACAAGTCACAAGTTCTTCATCACAACAGGTAAATTAAACAACTTATTTTTCGTAATTTAATATTCTCTGAGTGTAGAATATTGAGTGCTTGTAAATAAAAAATATATCAGGAACCTAGCTGTTGCTAGCGACTCCATCCGCGTGAAATTAAAAAAAATATAGCCTAATTTACTCACTGCCAACATAGCATTTTAACGGTGAAAGAATTTTTGATTGATTGAATGATCAATACATACAAAAATGCAAATCTTTATTTTTTTATAATATTAGTATAGATAGATAATTTTAAACCAAAAAGATGAGCGATCTAAATGCCATGCATTTTTTATCAAATGCTAAGACCCAAGTAATGATCAAGTAGCTTGTTGAATTAATATCATCGCATTGAATTTTTTATCTTATAACCGAATCTAAGCTATTAACTTAACGTTCCATTTTTCGATTGATTTCCATCGCTTTCGCTTTACGGTTTGCTTCCGCAGCAATGTGCAAAAGCCTAAAAATCAATTTTTAGGGTCTGTCTCAAACTGGGTGGTCTTGTGGCTATGAGCACTGAAGAGAGGGTGCAGTGAATGTAAATAGTGTAGAATATTGGTTGTAATAGCGTTCCCTGTGAATATAGACGTTGTGTTATTTTCGTCTCGGCCTCGGCCGGTTCATAAAACGGCCGGTTTATTTTGAATTCGGCGTGCGCGGTTACGAGAAAAATAAATAAAATAAAACGTATACGCCTTGGAAATAAGTACAATATCCGATGCCTACCTATTGTTTGTGAAAACTCGAGGTCGTAACATTTTATTCGTTACAGTAAGGTGTTAGGTCTTTGTGTCGGTATTAGCACGCCCACGTTCACGCTTGCAACGCAACTCATTTTGGCTTTTTCATTGACTATCTAAATGCACGAGCGTACACCTTTGACCTGACATTGTGCTTGACAACAAAGAAAAGGCGTGGGCTTGAATTTCATGTAAAGTTCAATCGCTAGAATGAAATACGTTTTGAAACTTACGTGATTTTAACAAGTCATTATTTCTTGGGGCAGATTAGAATTTGCCTTAAATCAACTGAAATATCTGATTCACTGTCTTAATACAGCAAGTAATTTTCAAAAATTAAAAAGTTGTCTGTGCGGCTAGCTTTAATTTCTAGTAATTTTCCCTTCTTACTCCTTGTTTAATAGCTCTATCTACAACAATTTTGTTAGTTGTAGCTTTCTTTCTTAATTAAATTGAAATAACATTTTGAATACAGTTTTCGAACACATGCAGTGGGCTGTGCGCATGCGCGTGGTTGGCGTCGTGCCAAGCAGACCGTGGCGTAACGTAGGACTAGGTCCGTGTTATTAGCCCCAACGCCACGGGATATACGAACTGTCTGTCTGCATACTAACTAGAAAAATATAATCTCAACTGATATTTTAAGCAATCAATTTCTTTACTTTTGGACTAGACATCGAATTGTAAATATTTTAGAAGTTTATATTTGTTAGGACTTAGTATTTTGCTTTTATCGAGATTTAATATTGTATGTTAAGTTTCTATGACAAATAGGCTTAAGTTACTCCAACATGAAACCTTAAAAGAGGCTAACGTACTTCCAAGAATATTTTTTTAATTCGAATCGATTTATATACATACTATGTTTTCACATGCATTTCCAACTTGATCTTTTGTATACATTAGACGATCATAGCATCTACTAATTACATAGTTCGAAAATTTTTTCGTTTCTGTGAATTTCATTAACCTAAAATTATTTTGATAATAAGGAATGCAGTTAAAATAAACAATTAAAATGTTAATTAATTAGGAACGGGTGTAGCACATTACCTAAGTTAGGACAAATTACGTTTTGTACTTGAATGTGGAAATTAATTAAAAAAAAAAACATTTTGTAAACACAAGAAAAAACAATCGAGCATCTGCCCATAGATGACGTTTTGTCACCGTTATTAGGGCACGCAAACATGGACGTTTGGTGTTTTTTTTAGATACTCAAATATTTTCTCTATTTCCGATATGCTTCGTTTTTTAAATGAAATTATGAAAAGGTTTGTCTATAGTTCAAGGTCATTCATACAACAGATCGCAGTCACATCCCGCCCACTCATCTGAGTCACATCCCTCGCCCACCATACCAGAATTTCGAAAACTTCCTTTAATTTCTCGAATATTTTAAGAAAATTACTATAATTAGCATGTTTTCGCCTATAAATAACCTGCATTATATCTTCATGTAATTTAATTCATGTCACTCGAACGCAACTCTCATTGTGCTAGTAATTGTTATTGTTATTAATAAGGTAAATATTAAGTTTTATGTAATTTATTTGCTGTTAATTGTATCGTACTTGTAGTGTTTGAAGGGCGCTATATTTTTACATCGCAGCGTTATTTTTATCCTCCACTAATTCTATTTGCCATTAGTGTTTAGTTGTGCCGCAAGTGCGCCAAGAGGCGTGACGGCGCGCGTACCTCTAGCATTGGCACTGAACTCCAGTCCGACTCTAGATAACGTTTGCGAACGACGACGCGCATTATCAGATCTTGTGTTGCTCTATTCTAAAACGTTGTGCAAGACCGCCGGCGGTCGTACATATTCCGACAAGATACTGTTATCAAAGCAAAGGTTAATAATCTTGTTTACATACAATGAGCTACATTCTAACCGTATCGTACATTTCTTGCGTTATCTGCGTGCGTGTAGTGTAGACATGGTGACAAAGGGTGCGCGTTACTCTTCGGCAGATGGTATCCAGCACTACGTCGAGTAGCGCGGCGACCAGCCAGCGGCTGCAGAGCTCCTCGCAGCGCCTGCAGCATATGACCGCCTCCGAGATGAAAGCCAGCTCCATGAAGTCTGACCTCACCGAACTCAAGAGCTCAATATCAGAAATGAAAAACCTAAGCAGTTGTTCTGCTCTAAACTTCGGACAAAGGTACGTTGCCGTGACTCACTTTTGTTATTTCTTTTAAGTTTACGTAACGATACACATGTGACATACGTGTCGATATTTTGCACATCTTCAATGGGTATTTGAGATAACGTGCGGGCTGGCACACCTGAGGCCTTGGCGGTCGGCCAATTCCCATCCGACACCCCGCGCCCGTTTGCAGTTTCGCGCCGACAAACAAAAGCAACAGTACGATGTGCGAGCAAACGTTCCGTGGAATCTATTGTTGAAAAAATTCTATAGTTAAATCCGAGACGAAACCCACCCGCTACTTCGAACACATGACACTTGTTCTGTGCTATTCACGTGTCGACTCTTCGTTTGCAGACTGAGAAGCTCGATGGAAAACATAGTAGATCAAGATGACGGCCATCTGGCGGACATCCGGGATCTGGACGAGATCGGAGATTACAGCGACATGGGGGACATCGGCGATATGGGCGGCGACGCACCCCTGGTCACTTTTCCTGAATCGGACACACCGCCTCCCGTGAGCGACAAGGCATGCATGCTGGCCGGTAACAACGTGCCTGCGGCC